TTCCTGTCCTCTCCCGTTTTTTGTCCCCGTCAAAAATACGCGTTCGCCGGCCCTGGCGCCACGTGAGCAGTCCTCGAGGCCTGCTATCTTCGGCCCTCTTGGCCCCCCGGCCCCCGCGCTGCGCGGCTTTCCCGGTCTCCTCCGGCGTCGCGACGCCGACGACGCCGGCGCGCCGCGGCCGATCGATCCGCGCCTCGGGCTCGCACGGTCCTCTCCGCGCCGAGTGTTACTCCGGGCTCGCCCGCTGGAGTACTTCGCCGACGCGAGAGCCCGCAGGAGACCGGGTCTTCCGAGGCAGAGAGCGAGAGGGAGCGCGCACCAATCCGCGATGCGACCGGCCGGACCCCCGCGGGAGGTAAGATCGAGCTAAGCCGATCGCGCGTCGCCGACCAACCGGAGGCCGCCGCAGGGGGACGTCGACCAATCGCGCGGCCGCGAGGCCGGAAGCGCCGCAGCCCTGGAGGTGATCGAGCGGCAGGGCGGCCGCAGGTCGCGCAGGGAGGCGCGCGAGGACCTCGACCAAGGGGACCGGCACTTCCTCGCCCCCAGGTCGGCCAGGTCGGCCAGGTCGGCACCCGGCAGGGTCGACCGCAGGTTCGTCCTCGAGTGCGAGGAGGAACTCCTCGAGCCCCTCTACGGCGCCCTGGAATACCGCGGCTACGGCCTGGGCTTCGACGTCGATGAAGAGGACCGCGAGAGTGGCACCGCCTACGCCGGCACTGCGGTAAGACGGCTGCGCCGATTGGACCGGGAACCCGCGACTTGCCCCAGGAGCCGGCGATCCGCGCTACAGCGGAAAGTGCCGCGGATCCCCCCCCGCGTCGCGGCATCCCCGAACCGCCGAATTCGCGGGTCGGGACGACGAGTCGATGTTGCAAGGATCGAGGGATGTCGGTGCACGTCGGGTAGTTGGTCCTCGAGGGAGGGGTTGAATTCGCCTCTTCGACTCTCTTTTTCCCCGAGATAACGCCACGAGCTGTGATCCAATGCTTTGTCGGCTCGAAGTGGTCGAATTCAAACGCGTCGTCGGCTCGAGCTGATAACTCCTCCCATCCCGGGGGACAAAGCACGGGGTTAGGGATGCGAATCGAACGTCCCAGATCCAATCGAGCGGGCGTTAGAGCAGACTCGAGTTATTTCTACCATAACTCGAGTTATCGATATAAATGTCAGTTATCGATTCGAGAGCGAGCCGTCATAATTCCAGTTATTTTCCTTGCCAACTCGCCGTAGACTCGACTTTCGCCGAACGTACGCGTCCGTCTTTCGCTATCAAATTATCGACTCGAATCCAAATGCGAGATATCTTCCCCGGAATCCAACATCTCATCATCGGTTACTCATAAACGTAACGTTTCGTATTCCGGTAACGTCGCGTCATTCCGTTCGGCGAAGGCAAATGAATTTGGTCAACGAGATAACCGATGGATTAACCGATTACTAATCGTCAGTTTTCTTCCAGATTTGCGGCGCATTTCGATTATCTCGTTAAAGGTCTGTTGTCGTAGGTCGATACCCAGTCCTCGTTTCTGGATTTTCCTTTCCCAACCGAAGGTCGGTAGATGATCGCTCGCGTGCGCGATTTTTCCTAAGTCGACGTCACGTGTCGATAATCCCTCGGACTCCGTTTCACGGATTAGCGGGCCTCGCTCCCACAGGTTGTCATTACGTAGTTGCACGTCACGTGACGTAACGCGATCACAGATCTGTGCCGCCTCGCGGTCACCTCGAACGCGCTTCTCGAGGCGTAAACGGAGAATAATCTGTGCACGCCTGATCTACCGCGATATTATTCGATATTTTGCCCGCGAATGCGAAGATTCGCATCCACGGGAAGATTTATCGCTCCCATAGATTGTCATCGTGTCGTTGCATGTCACGTGACGCAATGCGAGCATAGATCCGTGCCGTCTCGCGTTTACCTCAAACGCGCTTTTAGAGGCGTTAAACGGAGAATAATCTGTGCACGCTCGATATACCGCGATATTATTCGATATTTTGCCCGCGAATGCGAAGATTCGCATCCACGGGAAGATATATCGCTCCCACAGGTTGTCATTATATCGTTGTACGTCACATGACGCAACGCGAGCACGGATCTGTGCTGCCTCGCGCTTACCTCAAATGCTCTTCTCGAAGCGTTAAACGGAGAATAATCCGTGCACGTTCGACCAGCCGCGATATTATTCCATATTTCGCCCGCGAATGCGAAGATTCCCACCCACGGGAAGATTTATCGCTCCAACAGGTTGTCATTGTATCGTTGCACGTCATGTGACGTAACGCGAGCATAGTTCTGTGCTGCCTCGCGCTTACCTCAACCACGCTTCTCAAGGCGTTAAATGGAGAATAATCCGTGCACGCTCGATATACCGCGATATTATTCGATATTTTGCCCGCGAATGCGAAGATTCGCATCCACGGGAAGATTTATCGCTCCCACAGGTTGTCATTGTATCGTACGTCATGTGACGTAACGCGAGCATAGTTCTGTGCTGCCTCGCGCTTACCTCAAACGCGCTTCTCGAGGCGTAAACGGAGAATAATCCGTGCACGCCTGATCGGCCGCGATATTATTCGATATTTCGCCCGCGAATGCGAAGATTCGCACCCACGGGATGATTTATCGGCCCGGTTGCTTTTAATGATGTCTATGGACCACACCTTGCCGTCTACGTTAGGCTCGCTATTTAGCGTGGAAGAACATTTAGATCTGGTTCCGTTTAAACCCGGTTGCACCACTTTCGCTTGTTCCACCTCTGGATTAAATCTCGCATTTTCAGGAGGCCGGGGGAACCGGAAATTCAGACCAATGTCGATGAACTTATCAGTAATAATCAGTATTAAAATAAAAAAAATCATTAAATCGGTATATATTTATTACGAATTTTTAAAGAAAGTTATAATTTGGTGACGTTCGTGTTATGATGTTCGGGAAATTACGTGGGAGAATTAATGTACTTGGGTAATAAATTTATAATACATTTTTTCAATTTCTTGCGGATATTCTATAAAATTAGTACACCATAGGTTGAATAATACTTGCAAGAAAAATATTATAAAATTATAAATTTCTTTTTAACAGGGTGGAATTTCTGGGCGGAATATGGCTGGCATACCGGCATTCGATGTCTCACGATTTCCGTTAATTCGATGTGAATAATTATTCCGATAAGGTGTGAGCAATGGATTATTACCGTGGGAAATGGAGATTACACGTGGCGAACACGTGTAGTCTTTATGTCCTTTCGTCGAATCGGTTTCTTTATTGGCCAATTAGGAGGCGCTTTAGCTTGTAACATTGCTCAGTCGGTCAAAGTACTTATCGCTAAGAAATCATGACCGAGGGTGAAGGGAAATATCGGGAATGGCAGGCGATTCTTCGATCCGAACGAGAGAATAGGAAGTAATCGCTTTAATCGATCCTTAAGGTGAACCGCACCCGGGTCACGGTTATTAGTTGTCCTTGATTTATTCTAATTCTCTTTGTACAAAGTGTAGAGCTTGTGGGAAGACTCATACGTTGAGGAGGGAAATATTTTCATATGCAGAAAAACTTGGCACGGAACGGTCTCTTGAAAGAGTAATGGGAATGCATTAACCTAATAAGACCGAATGCATTCCGGATCTTTTTGTGCAGAGCCCGTGCGGAACCTTTTTATCTTTTTCTGGGCAAGCTAAACATTTCACCGCTGACGAGAGGAAATTTTAAAGTTAAAACTACAGTGAGACTTTTGATACTTCGAAAATTGTCGTATAATTTCTTCAAAATGTAATCCCTCGATTGAAGTACCGATTGCTGCAATAATATAGATGATGGTATCGTTATGATTAGAATGCCGGGAAATCAAAGAGGCCTTGGAGGATAGAAGGTTATGCATAGTAGAACGATTATAATTAATAATTGGTCATATGTTGAGAATAACTATAAAATTATTAGAATTATCACCGACTCTACGATTTGAATTTCGCGCGCAATTAGAAACTGCGCGCCACCGTCGTCATTATCCGCGCGCATTTTGAAATCGAATGACGGCAGCAACGATAGAGCGTTCATCGTGTAAAGTTCACTATTTATTTCATTAATTGTTCACTTCATTAATTATGTATACAGAAAATAAATATGTAGAGGTAAGGATAAATTAACGAACACACGGATACGTGGGGAAGTACAGTTAAATCAACTGGCAGTTATTTTATTGAAGATAATTCCTGATTTATTTTAAATCGATTTTAGATGGTGTGTCGGGGTAATCGTCAGTTGTCAACTCGGCCGCGATTAATTGCGATTCTTCCCATGTAAAGGCTTGTCTCTTTGTAATCCTTCACTGACCAATCCTGGATGATAGTTAGCAATTGACGTGGGAGTCACGTCGTACCGTCTGAAAGATAACTGTCCGGAAAGCGCAAAGTGTAAAGTTTTAAGTCTCTTGAAAAGAGTGGAATCGCTAACCAATCGAAGCGATAAGTACTAATCTGTCATCGATAGCTACACTTTTTAATATGTATGTTCGCAATCACCGTTTACGGCAGTTTAAATGTCAGTTTCTGTGGCAGTGTCCGTTTAGGAAGGGCAGGGCAGTGAACGTCAAATGGTACTGTTCGTGCTCCGTTTTGGGCAAGTTCAAAGCGAAAGTTGGGTTAGGAATAAGTAGTTCCCTTAATTTGATTACACTGATAAGGACCAACCTTTGGTAAATATCTGGAGGTATCTGTGTCATTTCAGTTTATGATGTCAATGTCGGATTATGGCTTAGGTACAGTATTACAAGATTAGAAAGAATAAAGGTCGTAATGCCAAGTGACTTTCGTATACTCCGTTTCTGATTTAAGGTTATGGAAGTGATGGACAAAAAGAAGTGGGTAACTTATTTGACACAGTTCAGAGGCATCGATAAGACGTAATAACTTTTAATCCTGACATGAACGTGATAGGAGTTTTAGGTGGAAAAAGAAGTTATTCTTCTTTTTATTAATACAAGACATGTATCATGTTACAGAACGACAACAAGAGTGCGGCGAAGCGGGCTACGCCATATACACGGGGCACCGCCATATCATTTGGATTCCGGCGTAGACCCAATTCTGGAATTCCGATGCCCATAGCGAGCTACCCAAACGACGCACCATTATTACATCCCCGTTCTAAATCAGCTGGACCAGAGCAAGATCGACGACGCGAAGAGGACCATCAAAAAATTCAAAATGTATCGGGTCGATCGACACCTCGACTCGTGCCACCTAAGAAAGAGGCCAGTGGAATTGCTGTTAGGATCAATCGATTTGGTTTTAGGCAACCGCAGGCAAGATATACTAACAAGGTTGGAGATATTTGCAGCAATCACGAAGCAAGTCATTACAATCAGGAGAAGTCGCATCAGCAACAGCTGGAGAAGAACAAGCCATCGAACAAGGCTCCCACTTCCAAATTAAGGCCGTCCCCGGTGAATCCACCATATAACAACAATAATCCCTTGAATAGTGATGTTAATCGAAGAATGTCTGGTATTCCTGAACCTATTAGCAAGTATACTTTGCATACCAGTCACTTACCGTTACCCCAGTACGCGGTGAGGATGAACGATGCAAATTCAAAGGTTGCAAAGACCGTTGCCAATCAGAATAGAAAAGTGTCTACAGCATCAAAGGGTTCCTCAAGTTCTAAGGAAGGTTCAGGTACCGAGGATTCTGGAGTAGGAAGTCAGTTGGGTTGTTTGGAAGAGAACGACGTACGAAGAGGCCTCGACTATTTGGATAACAGTCCAGCAAATGGAAGAAGAGGACACATCAGACCTAGGAACCTGAGGATGGTTGTAAACGGAAAGAGTTTTGACGTTAGAGACGTGGACGACGACAGCACCGTTACCGAAATATCGGTTATACCTCTTCCAAAGACATTTGTAACTCCTAACCTAAATACTGGTCTGGTCAGAGAGAGGACGACCCAGTATCAGAGAATCCTCAATAAAGACAATAGGTATAACGATTCTACGACGTCTATGTCGACTACTTCGTCCGAAGGCTACGATGAAGGGCTTGGCGAAGAAAAAGTGTACAAAGATAGATCACATTCCGAGAAGATTCCTTCTATTAAGTCAGACTTCAGTCCACCGAGTTCGGATGACCCTGAGTATGGTCACGGTGAGGCTATGGCTGATGAGTATTCTCTGAGTTCCAGTGACGAGTGCAGGGTTAATTCCAACCACCACTTGAAGACCATTTCGAACGCCGCCAAAAGTGGATCTTTACCAAAGAGTACTCTGCGCTCAGTTCTTCTCACCATCGAGGACCCTGCATTTGCCGCCGTGGCTGCAACTTCCACTACGTTAATAGACGACGAGACATCTCCCGTCGACAGTCTGTTTGATAGTCCCACCGCTAGTATTACTCAGTCAGATGGAAAAGCGTCCAGAAAAGAGTGCCCGATGGAGAGGTCTGGCAACACGATTGATGATGACTCTCCTGGAACCCCAACAAATGCTTCAAATTCTCTGAGCTTATCCGAGGGCAGGGAATTCTTTGATGACGAAATAGCAGATCAACCTGGATTAACGTTTGAGGACACATTGAGGGGCAGTTCGGAGGCCCAATCCGGAATGGCGAGTCAAGTGGTTACGGAGAACAGTCAAACATTGGTGGAATCGATACCCAAGACAAGTATGTATATTTACATTTATAATTCATCTTTATTTCTCATATAAAGTGACTGATATTTTATTAACTAAATAATTCTCATTACACGTTGCAGACATCATACATGGTAAGAGCGTGGAAAACAGTCCGATTCATGCTCGAAGATTGAGTCGTGCTGGGAGTGTCGATACTTTGTCACCATGCGAATCAATTGCCTCCGATGATCTTATGCTGGACTATGAACGCAGTGACACCAGTTCCTATGAAGACGCTAATCACCGGTAAATGCTTTAATGAATTATGTTTTCACGCAGTTGTTAGATAAAAATAAAAGTAATTATCAATCCATTGTTAGATAGGGATGGTACATGGTGTGAACGCATATAAATTAAGTGAAACGTTTCAGATTGGATTCGAATCCTGCTTTGCAAGACTTGGATGAAGCCACCATTCTTTCGGAGTTGGAAGCTCAGGGTGAGGAAGTTATGAGAGAGTGGAGTTCACTTTTGGGTGCTCACCAAACACCGGAACGTCCTAATTCTAATGCCACCAATAACAACAATATCACCAGTGGTATTAACAATAATCATGCAGTGAGCGAGTCTGGGTACGTATTTTCTTTTTTACTACTAACCTGTAACGCCTTTTTCCAAAAACTTTTAAATTCCTCATGGTTGATCCATATCGGAGTAGTCTACTCGTTCAACCACATAAGAATGGATTAAAATAAAAAGTAGTTTATACAGGTTTTAATTGAAGAGGCTTAGAATAATTACATTTAATAATTGCCAACACCTAATACTTTTCCTATTATCTAACTTTTTAGTACGCGACAATCCTTTTGATTGAATCATTTTGAGCAATCATCACGATTTGGATCTTCCATCTAACTTGTACATACTTACCAAAACATTTTATACTTGTACCTATCAACTCCACCGTAATTTGGAATTCAGTTGTACGCTTGAACCGAAAGGATTTACGTAAAAGTGATTGCTATTTTCGTGTTCTTTATACGTTGCTTACTTATGTCGCATACTTGTGTTCTTATGTCACCGCTACTTTCTACGCACACCGAACGTTTTGAATAATCTTCAGTTCTCCTATTTTGGGCAAATTTATACAGAAGCCTTATCGACCGTTCTCTACTTAGTCCCTGAGTAACAATCATGAACCTAGACCTTCGATAGTTGATTCGGTCAAACCTCCGAGGACTTTATCGTGTGCAGAACTCTCTGCAAGGGTTCCCAAGAATCCCACCTATTAATGTCTGCAGTTGTTACAACGAAGATGCAACTTCTTGGCCGATGCCAATTGCAAGCGAAGCCTGATGTCGGGGAGTGACGAGGTTTTTGCCACAATTAGTTCATACGAAAAGTCTCATAAGCGGACGACACGAGGTCCCTCAGCCGTGCAATAATGCGGCTCTCTGTAATTCCTTCGGAATTCCCGTATCTATTTATTCTATACCAATTGCAAGCGAAGCCTGATGTCGGGAAGTAACGAGAAACTTGCCACAATCGGTCCATACGAAAAGTCTCATAAGCGGACGTCATGAGGTCTCGGGTACGCGCAATAGTGCGGCTCTCTATAATTCCTTCGGAATTCCCGTATCTATTTATTCTATACCAATTGCAAGCGAAGCCTGATATCGGGAAGTAACGAGAAACTCGCCACGATCGGTCCATACGAAAAGTCTCATAAGCGGACGACATGAGGTCTCGCGTACGCGCAATAATGCGGCTCTTTGTATTTCCTTCGGAATTCCCGTATCTATTCTACACGAGGGTCGCCCACGCGTTCGCGATTACGATCTCGCTCCCATGCATGTCCCCTGGTAGTTCCACGTAGGCTTCCAGTTTTGAGTCGCACACCTTACGTCACTAGGGGCAGCCAGATACCTAGGTAGAGTGGGCGCGAAAGCGTGTGACTCTAGGAAATTCACGCTCCATAAAAAAAATCTGCATTTCCAGTGCAGCTACGCGTCACTTCCGGCTTCGGTCCGACTAATTGACACGCCAGCTCGGTTCGATCGCATTTTCCTGCGCATTTCAGCCTGCGCATGTGAATCTAACTCCCAGTTGGTATATCCCTCCGAGTCCAGACTTTTGTTCCGCGAAAATGATTCCCACTGAATGAGCAACTCCATTAATGGAGGCCATGGAAACTGGGAGTCGTGTCGCGATAGACGAACCGACGATAATTACCACGAGTAGTTAGAAGGATAAGGAATTATCTCTACGCCTTTATTGAACCGTATTTAACGTTTTACAGGCAGGTAGCAGGGAGTTGAAAGACCATTTCGTATTCCTTTTCCTGGAGCTACCCTTCACTTGGCGCACCTCCATTCGCACTCTTCGCTTCTGCTGCTCTCTTCGTGAATAGGATAATCGGAGATTTCCTACGTACAGCCCTATCCGAGTGATCTCGGTTGAACTTTAAGTTTCATCATCCGCGATACCGGAAGCTGAAAGAGTCTTTGATCTGCAGCTTAGGGCTCCGATTTATTTACCTCGCCACGGGGTGGGAACGAAATGCACTTTCAGGATGTTATGCAACGCGGAGCTCCTCTCTATGCAAATTGAAGCTGCAGACCTCCCCGTTGGTTCATGGCCCCTCGTTTCTGCAGGGTATGCGTAAAATCGATGCGGAGGTTCTTGCAGGGAAAATGCTTGGCAGGTTTCCAGCCCTCGGGTATGTCTCTTTTCGGGGTATCCACGTTCCTATGAGTCACCATGGTAATTTCGCAATCGGTGTGCCCGCTGCCGGTGTGTATTTGCTCTCGAATTAGTCGTGAATCCCTAGGGCACATATTTTATTTGCATTTGCGTGCCGTGATACAGACGGGTGCGCCTTCAATGAGAAAGAAACCCCGGAATGGGGGAAATGACGTTTCAATGGCGGATTTTTTCCATGTGGGCGCACTTCATCTATAAAATATTTAACGTAAAATTAAAACGTTCGACTTGTAACGGCTGGAAATATTTCTTACTTCCTTCTGTCCTCGATTGTAGGTATACCTTGGAATTTCGTGAATCCGACCTATCTAGAAACTCGTTGCATCGCAATGAGAAACAAAACACGGAATGGGGGAAATGTCGTTTAAGGGGATGTGAAAGTGACATCCGAAAGCTCAATCGTTCATAAAACTTTTCTACGAACTGAGTGTCTCAAATTGTCTCATACTTTAAAACGCGAATATGGAAACCTTAAGATAAGTCCTGAAACTCGTGAAATTTCATTTTTTATAAATTATTTTTAAAATACCTATAAATAAATTTGAAAAGAATTGAAATTCATCAGTTTCAGGACCTTCCTTATAGTCTCCCTATTCACGTTGTAAAGTTTCAAACTATTCGGTAAACCGAGTTGAGAGAAAAGTTTTATAAACAAAACTTCTTCAACGCCACTTTCACATCACCTTAAATGGCGAATATTATCCACGTGGGCGTATTTCATCTGTAAAATATTTAACATAAAATTGAAACATTCGGCTTTTAACGACTGGAAATATTTCTTCCTGCCTTGTGTCCTTGGTAGCAGGCATATCATGGAATTTCATGAATGCGACCTATCTTGAAACTCGTTGCATCTCGATGAGAAAGAAATCGCGGAATGGGGGAAATGTCGTTTAAATGGCGAATATTATCCACGTGGGCGTCTTTAATCAATAAAATATTTAACATAAAATTGAAACGTTCGGTTTTTAACAACTGGAAATATTTCTTCCTACCTTGTGCCTCGGTAGCAGACATATCTTGGAATTTCATGAATGCGACCTATTTAGAAACTCCTTGCATCTTGATGAGAAAGAAATCACGGAATGGGGGAAATGTCGTTTAAATGGCGAACATTATCCACGTGGGCGTATTTCGTCTATAAAATATTTAACATAAAATTGAATCGTTCGGCTTTTAACGACTGGAAATATTTCTCCTGCTTTGTCTCCTCAATTGCAGGCATACCTTGGAATTTCATGAATGCGACCTTTTTAGAAACTTATTGCATCTCGATGAGAAAGAAATCGCGGAATAGGGGAAATGTCGTATAAATGGCGAATATTATCCACGTGGGCGTATTTCGTCTATAAAATATTTAACATAAAATTGAAACATTCGGCTTTTAACGACTGGAAACATTTCTTCCTGCCTTGTGTCCTCGATTGCAGGCATACCTTGGAATTTCATGAATGCGACCTATCCACAGACTCGTTGCACCTCGATCATGCCAAACAATGACTCTCTTATGCGATAAAATCTCGATCGGTCGGTGATTCATGATTTGCGTTACAAAGCACGTCTCGGCTACTGTAGTTTCATAAATTCATGACGATTAGCTTTCTCGTCGAAGTCGCACGCGCTGCCTCACGTGAGCCTGTAATTTTATAATGCATACAAAGTAGCTCCACGAGTGGAAACGCCTTACATAAATATTTTTTATTTAGTAATGCTCTTATTACGTCCAACGAGCAGTTCCGGATAAAAATGACAAGGAGTCACCTCGATACTTGAGTGTCGTGAATGGATAAGACCGTCATCTCTGGTCCTCCTGATATTGTTTGACGCATTATTAATATACTATCAAGACGATAACAATCCTGCGATTAAATCGATGGATAATTTTCTGCAGATAGAGAGGGCACTGGCTTGGGGACCGGAATGTCTCTAAATATCGGGAGAAAACAGCCCGTGAAATTTCATGAATAATTGACGTTAATTACCTATTTCATCAGGATGAAAAACTTGGAATTACTTTAGAAGCACCTTAGAATACACGCCGATAATCGTACTCACTAGACTTGTGAAATCATTTCTATAGGTAGAGATAGAGAAATCAAATCTTAGGAATTTGGAGTTTCATTCGTTTCTGTAGATGTGGGCTTGAAATAATATTCTTTGGTAATTGCAACCAGGTAGGCCGAAAGGGTGTACCATGGGATGGTACAGAGAGATAATCGTACTCACTAGACTTGTGAAATCATTTCTATAGGTAGAGGTAGAGAAATCAAATCTAAGGAATTTGGAGTTTCATCCGTTCCTGTAGATGTGGGCTCGAAATAATATTTTTTTGGTAATTGCAACCAGGTAGGCCAAAAGGGTGTACCATGGGATGGTACAGAGAGATAATCGTACTCACTAGACTTGTGAAATCATTTCTATAGGTAGAGGTAGAGAAATCAAATCTAAGGAATTTGGAGTTTCATCCGTTCCTGTAGATGTGGGCTCGAAATAATATTCTTTGGTAATTGCAACCGGGTAGACCGAAAGGGTGTACCATGGGATGGTACAGAGAGTACTGTACATACGAGAATCGATACAGCACGGTTTCTCCTGCGACCGTCCGAGTGCAGCACCATTCTGTCTTGGCGGACTTCTGCTTGAAATGCTGCACTCAATTGTAGACAAGCAGAGCTTTTTGCGTACAATTTGCTCCATTTAGAAACCACATGCCCATATCTATTGCCGCAGTTTCGCCATTCAATTCATTGTGCCGTGATTGTTTGATTCCTCAAATGGACTTCAGTCGGGTGAATAAACACTTAAGGAGAAAAAGAGCCGAGCACTTCGCTTCCTTCGAAAAGCTCGTATTAATGCATGCTCTTCGTTT